AATCAGCAGGCATTAGGGCAGGCCACTGCTGTTTTTTTAAAAGGAAAATGTAGCTTTGCCTATCTTTGACAAGTGCTATTCGTCTTTGTAATTCAATATGTAGGCCACTACCAGACTGCTCCAAGATTTCAGATGTTAAAGCAACTCTAATTAAAGTGTAGTTTTGTTCTGAAATCTATTCACATGTTCAGTGTCTTTCATACTATAGAATGAGATGCAGTGCATTTGTAATTGGAATGGCGGGGAATCTTAACCGCTGTGTTCTTATCTACAAGAACACTTGGCTGGATGGCTTTCTGTCCCAGTGGCTATCATTATTATGGGGTGCTTGTGGCTTAAATGTGGCTACACACCGTGCTGTATCACCCTTCAGACTTCACATCTGTGAAATAGCCAGATGCTGCCTTTGCTTTTTTCCAATTCTGGTATATGTTTCTCTGTAGCAATTTGCCAAACAGGATCGACCCAAGTGGCGTCCCTGTAATGCATAATGAGAAGTGCAAGCCTTAATCCTGCAGAGTTGAGCTTTCTGTCTCCACGTAGGAGATCAGATTACAACAGTCCCTAGGCTCGTGCATGCCACAGTTGGTACAGACACCCAACCTGAAGGTGCATTAGGAGGCCAGGCTGTATGTTTTCCCAGCCTGAAGTGAGCTTGTGCCAGTCGGATGGGTAACGGAAGGGATGAGACTTAGCATGATCCGGTTGACAAGAATGGGTGCTTAGCACCTGTTGCTTTCATTATGGTCATTATGGTCTCTAGAGACCATAAGTAAAATGCCCCTGTGTAAGGATGGTTACAGAATAAGATACTTGGTTCTTGAGCTTGCTCCTTGTCTGATTTTAAACAGTGAATTGAATCTGGTTACAGTGAAACTGAATGAAGAGATGCCACACTTCAAATATTAGATCAATGATATAAAATGGGCCTATTAGAGCTAGTCAGGAATTTTCCAGCATCTGGGCTGGACGGGGGGGTGGGTACCTAGCTTCCGGCATGCATTCAGATAATAAAATTGACAAGAGCTGGCAAGCTGAAAAATTCTGCCTTGGGTCTCCTTAAATGGAATTTCTCTAGCAGTTCCTGCTTACAAAAAGATTGCATTTTTGACTCTTCATCCTGTTTAAGACTAAATTTTATTAACAAAATATGAACACTTTTGTAGGAAGGGATTTTAATTTTCCAGACAGCTTTTGTGGCCACATTTACTTGGAAGCTTAATTAAAATACGACACAATTCTCCACTTACATACTGCTCTCCATCCTCGTGCTCCCTACATCAGAAATACCCTCCCCTGTACATGTACTCGCTATCCGGAATTGCTGTCCCTCTCCCTATAGTCCACTCATCCTGTCATTTCTGTTCCCTTAGAATGGAAGTCTGACTTGGAGCGAAGAAGCTGATGGAGGCCGAGGAAGAGAAATCTCCCGAGATTTTGCCAAGGTAAGCGTGTCTGATTTTTACTGTGTGTGGAGCTGAGGTTGAGGGAGAACTTTCAGCATGCTCCTCTTCGAGGACTGTCCCTAGGGAGTTTGAGGTTTGTGGCAACCCCCACCCCCAGTGCAACAGGCGTGGGGACCAGGCAACCCCCCACCTCAGGCTCTGCCCCGTCTCCACCCCCTTGCTCAAAGTCCTTTACCCCAGGCAACACAAGCCAAGGGATTACTGGAAAGGGGCCTGTTGTGGGGCAGCATCATGAATCAGCCTCCTCCCCCCACGCCTGGCAGCCAGTGTGACCCAGCAGCCTGCTTTGCTCCTTCGTCACCATCTGCTACCTGCTGTGCTTCGCTTTTTCTTTGGCGATGGGAAGTGGAGCACCCTGGGGCTGGAGCACTCTGCTTCTTGCCATTGCGGTGAAGTGGTGTGTGGCAGGCTGAGAGAGGGGTGGAGCCGGCTGCCATGTCGCTTTGGCTACGTCTAGACTGCAAGCCTCTTTTGAAAAAGAGCATCTAGACTACAATCAGTACTTTTGAAAAAGCAAGCTGCTTTTTCGAAAGAGAGTACCCAGGCAGTCTGGATGCTCTCTTTCAAAAAAGCACAGTTTGCATATACATAGCGCATTTTTTTGAAAGAGCACTTTCGAAAAAAGGCGTTTTTCCTCGTAAAATGAGGTTTTCCGTGGTCGAAAAAAACGCAGCAGTTTTTTCAATTTACTTTTGAAAGAATGTGGCAGCAATCTAGACGCAGGGGAAGGTTTTTCGGAAAAAAGGTTACTTTTTTTGCAAAACCCTATAGTCGAGACATACCCTTTCAGCTTCCACTGCGAGTGTGGAAGGGGAGTAACCCCTGTTGCCACCCTGTGCCAGGCTGCCCTGTGCCACATCCTTCGGGCCGCCCTGTCCATAGTACTATTGAGGCGACCGCTGTGGGTGTGTGGAAATGTGAAGGCGGAACCGTGTACACTGAAACTCACTTAGCAACTTCTGTAGACCAGTAGAGGTAGGCCACGTTATTGCTTTTGATAGTTGAAGAGCAGCTTTCAGTAAAGCCTCTTGGCTGTCTGTTATACTAAGCACTTTGGGTCAGCGCCCCTCTTTGGCTGGCAATAGAGAATTTAGCTTCTCAAAACTGGTTTAGCAGTTTTGAACTGTGGCTTCAGTGTGTGTCCTCTCCGACAAACAATGTATTGACTTTAAACTAGCCCTTTTGGAGGAGTGTAACTAATTGCTGTGCAAATCCAGTGATGCATTTCCTTCCCTATGGCTTAATGTGTGAGAAGTGGGCCACAGAGGAAATGACCCAATAAACTCATTTTCTTATGGAATAGACAGACTTTCAGTAGCTAACTCCATGGCTTGAGAGAAAGGCAGACACATGTTTATCCCATTGAGGCTTAGCTTTTTGATTGGTCTCCTTCCCAAAGAGAGCAGCTATGGCTAGCGGAGGAAATGGTTTCCACAACTACATGAACTTCATTTCTCCTCCACATGCTGGTGTTTTTTATCCTGTTTGAACACCCTTGGAGTTTTTTCAGCTAGTGCTACTGGCACTGTGTGTCTTTCACTCTGTCCCCATATATTCCCCCAGTGTCCTCTATAGGTGAAAATTGGATTTACTGTGGAACAGTTGTATGAGTCTCCTGCCTGCACCTTTTCTGAGTTATCAGAAGGTGATGCTAAGAAGTAGAATATGTTTTCTGAATAACCCTTTGATGAAATTGTTGAGAAATATTTAATCAGAAACATGAGCCCTTGTTGGCATTTTGCCAAAACATGTGTGCACCACTTTGTTTCTAGGCAGATTGCTGAGGCGAGAGAGAGAGTACATTCCATCTGATTTCAGAGGAGTACCTCCTTGTTAGCGTGATATCAATATATTTTCTTTCACCTCTCTGCAAGGCATTTCAGGGATTGTCACAAGTGGAAAACTCCAAGGAGGGAATAAAGAGGCTGGACGTTGCACTTCCATAGTGCTTTTCAGTGTGAATTGGAGGAAGTAGTGTGTTCTGAGGGCTGATCTACATGGTAGACTTAGGTTGGCAATCTCGCTCAGAGCTGTGAAGAATTTCACACCTTATACCACGTAGCTAAGCTGAACTAAGCCCTGGTGTGGACACTGCTAGGTGTCTTCCATTGACCTCTGGGAGAAGTGGATTTACTAAAGCAACAGAAGAAATCCTCAGGTTGCTGTAGTATCTATTCTGCAATGGCTCAGCTGCAGTGCTACAGCTGTGTGTCTATAGCATTTCTAATGAAGACATAGCCCAGGTGTTACATTGCTTGTTGCTTTCCCATCTTTCCTTTCTGCTGTTTCTTTCAGTAGTTTCTCTCTCCCCTTTGCCCCAGTTGGGATCCTCAGAATCCCTTCTCTTCTGTGCTTTCCTCTCATTAGCCCTACATTATAGCAATGCTTGTCTGACAGAGTTCAGCCCTGCTGACTCCCAAACCATCCACAATCCACACCATGCCTGAACTGTCTACGGGAGATCAGTGCAAAATATACACATTCCCGCTTGTGCTGAAGGGACTTACCTTGTTACACTTCAGCCTGGTCAGTGGAGCAGTCCAGAACTCAACCATGGATTTGCCTCCACCTCTGTGGTAGCATGTCATCCCACCATCACATGAGGCCCGATACAATACATGGTTATATCACCCTAAGTGACGCATCTGAGGAATTGTCCCAGATTGAGATGTCATTAGAGGAGGTTTTAGAACAAATTGATAAACTAAACAGTAACAAATCACCGGGACCAGATGGCATTCACCCAAGAGTTTTGAAAGAACTCAAATGGGAAATTGCGGAACTATTAACTATCCTTTAAATCATCTTCTGTACCAAATGACTGGAAGATAGCTAATGTGACATCAATTTTCAAAGAGGGCTCGAGAGGTGATCCTGGCAGTAACAGGCCAGTAAGTCTGACTTCAGTACTGGGCAAATTGATTGAAACTATAGTAAAAAACAGAATTCTCAGCCATATAAATGAACATAATTTGTTGGGGAAGAGTCAATATGGTGTCTGTAAAGGGAAATCATGCCTGACCATTCCATTAGAATTCTTTGAGGGGGTCAACAGGCATGTGGACAAAGGTGATCCAGTTATCATGGGACAAGAGGCAAGGTCCTCTCAAGGATCAGTTATGGGTTAAAAGGCAAGACACAAAGAATACAAATAAATTGACATTTTTCAGAATAGAGAGAAGTAAATAGGGATATCACCGAAGGGATATCACTGATATTTGGACCAATACTTTTCAACATACTTATGAATATATAATCTGGAAAGGAGGATAAACTATAAGGTTTAAACATTTGCAGATGGTACAAAACTACTCAAAATAGTTAACTCCAAAACTGACTGTAAAAAAGTTACAAAGGGACCTCACAAAATTGGGTGAGTGGGTTACAAAATGGCAGATGAATGCAAAGTAATGCAAATTGGAAAACATAGTCACAACTATACATATAAAAGTTTGGGGTCTAGATTAGTTGTTACCACTCAAGAAGAGATCTTAGAGTGATTGTTAAAAAAAGTTTTAAAAAACCAAAGAGAATGTTGTTATTCCAGCCATTATTCCAGAAAAACAATATTGGTGTCCACATTGCAATTGCATTATTTTGACAGAAAGTTGAAATAACGGATTACTTTTTCCAATATCAGTAAACCTCATTTCATGAGGAATAAGCCCTTTTCCGACAAAGCTTTTTCAGACACCTGGGGCAGAGCAGCTGGGGTGCTGCCAGGTTGATCCAGTAGCGCCGAGGAGCGGCGGTGCGGGACCAACCCAGCAGCACCCCAGCTGCTCTGCCCCAGGTGTGTCCGATTCAGCTGTTGCTGGTCAGTTTCAACAGCGGCTGAATCTGGCCGCCAGTTCCGACTACAGTGCCTGTAGTGAACTTAGATTTCCAGAAGTCCTTTGACAAGGTCCTTCACTAAAGGCTCTTTAGAAAAGTAAGCTGTCATGGGATAAGAGCCAAGATCCTCTCATGGATTGATAACTGGTTAAAAGACAGGAAACAAAGGGTAGGAATAAATGGTCAGTTTTCGGAATGGAGAGAGGTAACTAGTGGTGTCCCACAGAGATCTGTACTGGGACCAGTCCTACTCAGCATAAATGATCTGGAGAATGGGGTAAACAGTGAGGTGGCATAATTTGCAGATGATACTAAACTGCTCAAGTTAGTTATGTCCAAGGCAGACTGTGAAAAGCTTCAAAAAGCTCTCACAAAACTTAGTGATGAATTTTAATGTTGATAAATGGAAAGTAATGCATATTGGAAAACATCCCAATTATATGTATAAAATGATGGGGACTAAATTAGCTGCTGCCACTCAAGAGAGAGAACTTGGGGTCATTGTGGATAGTTCTCTGAAAACATCCATTCAATGTGTAGCAGCAGTCAAAAATGCAAACAATGTTAGTATTCATTAAAAAAGAGATAGAGAATATCTTGTTACCTCTATATAAATCTGTGGTATGCCCACATCTTGGATACTGTATACAGATGTGATCACCTCATCTCAAAAAAGATATCTTGGCATTCAAAAAAGTTCAGAAAAGGGCAACAAAAATGATTAGGGGTTTGGAAAGGCTGCCATAAGAGGAGAGATTCATAAAACTGGTCCTTTTCAGCGTAGAAAAGAGGAGACTAAGGGAGGATGTGATTAGGATTGTCAGATGGTTTCAAAAATAATACTGGATAAAAATTTGTCGAGGAGAGGGGGGAAAAAAAAAAGCCAGGGAGTGACCTGGAGGGGGAGAGATTCGGGAGGTCGGGCCGAAAATACGGTTGCAGCCCCTTTAATTGCCGCCTGTCCCAAGCGGGCTTCCATTGGGTGCTGAGCCAGGACTGGGAAAAGCAGAAAAACTTATATAAATGCCCGGTATTTTCTAATTAAGTGTCTGGTATTTTCTCAGTTTGTTTACTGGACACAAAATCCAAATACCAGACTGTCCAGTTCAATACCAGACACCTGGCAATGCTAGATGTGATATAGATCTATAAAATCATGACTGGTGTGGAGCAAGTAAATAAAGGAATGTTTTTCGCTTGTTGCCATAACATAAGAACTAGGGAGCACCCAATCAAATTAATTGGTATCAGTTGAAAACAAACAAAAGGAAATATTTCTTCACACAATGCACAGTCATCTTGTGGAACTCCTTGCCAGAGGATGTTGTGAAGACCTCGTCTTTTAACAGGGTTCAAAAAAGAGCTAGAGAAGTTCATGGAGGATAGGTCCATCAATAGCTATTAGCCAAGATGAAACCAGGTGACAGGGAAGGGTTCATTCCCTCTGGGGCACCTGGCATTGGGCTGTATCAGACAGGCTACTGGGCTAGATGGACCTTTGGTCTGACCCATTATGGCGGCTGTTATGCATGTTCACTGCCTGCCCTAGCATGGGTTATATCATTATTTTTCTTTATTTCTCAGCTGTACGAATTGGATAGTGACCCTGAACGGAAAGAGTTCCTGGATGACCTCTTCATCTTTATGCAAAAGAGAGGTGAGTGAGCCATTTGCTTTATTTGGATAATTTAAAATGGGATACTGGAATTGCAGCCCTTGGGAGCTGACATGCAAGAATGAGGCTGCTACTTGAGCACACTGATCAGGTGGGAGAACAGTGGTGCGACCTGGGATACTTGTTTTGGGAATTAAGAGCTATGCAAAGACCTGTCCTATCCTTGAATCCTGGATTACAAGGACATGACCAGTTCCTCTACCCTCACCAGGGGAACCAACAGATTTGCCAGGCCCCTGGGCAAGGAGGAGGGTGGGACAGGTACCATGCTTCCAGAAGGGGCAGGGCTTCTGGTGGAAGGGCTGGGGCCGAGAAAGACAGCCCTCAGTGCTGCTTGGGCCGTGCCCCCCAGCCAGCCCTTAGAGCTGCCCAGACTATGCTGCATAGGGCTCCAATGGCAATTTAAAGGACTCAGGGCTCTGGCCCCTGCTGCTGGTGCAGTAGTGGCAGTGGCTGGGAACCCCAGGCCCTTTTGAATCGCCATTCACCAGAGCAGTTGTTGCGTCGGTCCGTCTGTCCCCTGCCTGTCTGCAGACCTGACCCTCACTTTCAACTACTTGACAAAAACAGACTCTAGGTTTCATTTTGGAGTGATTGATTTCTGCTTCATAGCCTGCAACAAACCCATTTTTGAAACATTCAGTACGAATCTACACCCTCCCTCAGATTAAGCTGTTCTGTTTGTACTGATCACCCACAACCTCTGGTGTTTTTTTTCACGCTATGCATCATGGAAGCTATTGTGAACACCCACTCTGTAAGGCAGGATCTGCATATAAAGTAGGTGTTCATGCTCGTGCCTAGACTCTGCATTGTGCGGGCGTGGAAAAGAAGTACGGAGCACTGGTTTTCACACTGCATTCCTTAGACCTGGATTTCTATTTCATATCATACTGCTCAGCTGAACCCAGGGGAGCAGACAACCTGTATGAACCCCTGGTCAAAGTGTGGGGTTCACAGGAGGGGTGGAGCCAGGGTAGCTAGTCCTCCATGCTGTCCGTAGCACAGTGTCTCTGTCCACCTCTCCACTGGCTGCCAGCGCCCTTTGAATCACCAGGCCCTGGGGAAAACTGCCCCTTCGTGCGCACACCCATCCCCAGTCAGCAGGCCTGGCTGAGTCCAGGAACAGAGTTCAGAGGAAACTGCAGCTTTTTTGGTCATTAACCACTTTTGTCTTGAGATTTTTCTTATGACAGAAATAGTGGGGTGGAGTTACTCAGGTAGAATATTTTATCAGTATCGTTCTACCGATAGCTGTGCTGGTTGTAGAGGAATAATAAATGCCTACAGATACAAGAGCGTAAGAATGGCCTTCCTGGGTCAAACATTGGGTTCTATAGCCCTATATCCTGTCTTCCAACAGTGGCTGGTGCCAGGTACTTCGGTGGGAATTACAGAACAGGATTTTATCAAGTGATTTCTCCTCTGTCATGCAGTCCCAGCTTCTGGCAGTCCAAGGTTTAGTGATACCCAGAGCTTTGGGTTGTTCATCCTGACCCTCTTGGCTAATAGCCCTTGTTGGACTTATCCCCCAGAAACTTATCTAATTCCTTTATTTTTTTTAAACCAGTTATATTTTTGACCTCCACCAGGCCCTCTTGCAATGAGTTTCACAGGTTAACACTGTGTTGTGTGAAGAAACAACTTCTGTCTGTTTGTCTTAAACCTGCTCTCTGTCAACTTCACTGGGCAACCCCCTGGGTTGTGTGTTATGTAAAGGGGCAAATAACACTTCCCTAGTCTCCTCCTCACTGTCTCTTTTTATAGAGCGCTATCATAGCTTCTCCCAGCAGTCCAAGCTGAACAGTCTCTTTTTAAGCTTTCCTCTGATGGAAACTCTTCCACAATCCAAACATTTTATTTGTCCTTCTTTGTACCTTTTGGAATTCAAATATCTTCTTTTTTTGAGATAGGGCAGGCAGAACTGCATGCAGTATTCAAGGTGTGGGTGTGTTACGGATTTCTATAGAGGCATTATCATTTCTCTTGCTCTCTTTCCTAATGATTCCTAACATTCTGTTTGCTTTTTTGGCTGCTGCTGCACACTAAGCTGATGTTTTCAGAGAACTATTCACGGTGACTCCAAGATTTTTCATCCAGTAATAACAGCAAATTTAGACCCACTCATTTTGTTTGTAGAATTGGAATTATGTTTGCCAGGGTGCACTTCTTTGCACTTATCAACACTGAATTTCACTGGCCATTTTATTTCCAAGTCATACGTGGCAAACCATTCCAAATCTGAGGTTGAAATGAATTTTCCTTTCAAATGCTTTATTCCCTCTCGCACGGGTTTTGGTTAAAAAAAAAAAAAAAGGCAGTCTGGCCCTCTTTTAATGTCTCTCTTGCAGCACAAAGAAAGTGGAAGTAACATTCCGTTGCTAGGGAGCTGTAACGTGACATACGGTGTCAATTTGTGATGTTTTAGGCAGATCTGTCAGTGGAACAGTAAGATAATGGCCTCCTTAGGTGCACCAAAAGGCTCATAGGCTGACAGTGAAGAAGTTCGGTAGATGAAGAGTGCTGCAGCACACTGTGATCCTTTCACTGTCTCAAGCTGCTGGGTGCTAGGAGCAGGTGTAGTGAGCGTTTAACATGCTAGAGGGAAATACAGTGTTCTGTAACTGGCAGTACATGAGACCTGGGAAACCATCTTGCTTTCCCTAGGCTCCTGTATGGTCTTTAACCAGGTTATTTCCTAGGAAATCTGGTACGGAATGGTGGGAAACATCTGTCTTCTGAAGCTGAAGAGCATCTGCTTGCGCTTTAAGAACCTGGCACTGGAGTTGGGGTCTCATCTTCGTTTGGTCTGATGTTTTACCATAATATTTCTGGGCACGTTCCTTTTTTGAAAATCTCAAAGGCTTGTAGAAGCATGA